TCTCTGAGCAGCAGGCGCCAATCAGAGCGAGAGAGAGAGAGAGAGAAAGAGTCTGGACAGGCTTGATATCTTCACGTCTAGGTGTCTTTGGAGTTGGTTTGTAGAGTTATGTCGCTGCGAGTCTACGATGCGTTCTGCTGATCGATCGACCCTCCCCAGGACCAAGTAAACAAAGGCATGGAACGTAGCCAACTTTGACCTAGGCGAGTCACCGTTGCTGCCACGCCCGATTTGAAGACCCGCCGATGCTGCAGTGCATTGACGTGGGCAGTTTCCCACCGTCAAACCCAATGATGGACTTCAACAGCCTCTTGGATAAAAGCTGACGCTTCTCGCGAGGGACTGCAACACAATCGTCGGCCAGAGTACAGTTGCTCTGATTACGTGGTTTTCGATGTGGACAGAGATACTCTGGTCATCTGACCCCATTCACAGATGATAAGCATTCGTATGCAAGTATAATATCAAGTCATGCCATTACGGCGCAGTTGGCCCTTGACTGACTGACTGACTGACGCTGTCTCATGGAGAAGTCGCGCTCGATTACGTTGGCTCTTGGCTTCCCGGTTGAGGGTGTGCAGCGCTTTCTGTGTGCTTGAGAGCCATGTGCACTTCCTGCACCTTGCATCGGTATCTGAGGTTACAGCTCAGATACCCTTTGGGCCTTCTCCAGCGGCCTGATGTCACCGGCGGATGTCTTCGAGGCCTTCATCGGGAGATTGCCCTGGCTCCAGCCTTGCTGTTATCCGGAATGCTGCAGGTTGGGGTTACGGCCGTTTCAAGTGGATCATGCTGAATCATGCCTGCTAGTGCAGACAGCCACAAACAGAATCCTAACCAATCCATCCGGCCAAGCTGTTGTCCCGGGACTCCGCAGAAGTATTGAGCGTGTTGTGCATGGAGAGCGGAGGGTTCGATGCTTTCCTTCGACGCTAAACTCAGATGAATAGCACACTTCCTGCTACGTCATTTGATGGCTCCCACTTCCCCCAAGCCGTCTCAATTACTGTGTCCTTGGGCCGGGGCCCTCCTTTCAGACCTTCCACATCCTTCCACCCTGGCCCGAATTCAGATCCATCCTTCCCAGACTGTTTCGGACGTCCTCCTAGAGTCAATGCTTTCGAAAGAATCGCAAGGCATGCCAGAGATGGACAGAGGCAGCGTCCGTTTCGATGGGCCTTTCCACACAGCCGCAGGACTCTCGGGGGTGAGGGGCCGAGGATTCGGAGGCTGCGAAGGGAGAGGCTCCTATAACGTGAACGATTAAGCGACGGAGTGGTCGAGGGCGCTGACTTTAAGTTACACGTAGGACCGGAGACCCATTAAGAAGACTGGGGTTGCAGGACGTCGCTCGGGACTGCACTTGGACTGTCAGCACCTTCCTTCTTGACCGAGAGCGGCACGAGTTGCTGGTGCCATGGTTGGCGCACATGCTGGAGGCTGCGGTTGTAAATTAAGTCTTGGAAGGCTTGTATGTTCAATCTGGGAGAGAGGCGGCGCGAGTTAGCCAACCGTAGCAACTATGTAGAAAGTATAATCTGCATGAGATCGGAAGTTCTGTCAGTGCACGCATGCCATGCAGCACGTCCTCGTGCATTCTGTATGTAGGCCTAAGATGCCAAGATAACTGCAGTATGACTCTGACTGTGCGTGCCCAGGTGAGGCGCCCGCTTTGGTCTACACAGATGACACTGTCCATGGCCACCGGGGCAGTCGATAGCACTTCTTTCAGCTTATGGAAGCTTCATCATGACATGCAGCAACTCGACTTCCTGATATCGGGGCCACAGAGCAGCACTTTCCCTTCACGCTCGAGCCTGAATCTGTCTGTGGAGTGGCTGGGCATGGAGCTACTTCCCTTGTATGCTGTGTTGCGGGACCAGGTGGTCCTGGAGCACGACAAAAATGAGGTGTTCGTTCACTTTCAGAAACTGCATGGCATATTCAACCGGGCCCTTCATGTTCACTATCCCTGGGTCGAGTCAAGTGCGATGTTGATGCCAACAGCTGCCAAACAGATGAGCGCTTGGAACCAGGAGGCGGCATTGGTCGTGGATGAGTCAATCCACGAAAGTGTCAGGGAAGAGGTCTACTTGTCACTCCTTTCATCCACGATCTGGTACGGGGTTCGGGAGGGCCGCGAAGCAGTTCTTGTGTCAGCGACCTTGATGGACGGACTTCATCATCCGGCGTTGCTCGCTTTGGCCAGGGAGGTGCGTCGTTTGCTGCCCGTGCTGGCAGAATATCCACTGCGAGACATTGTTGCCCGGAAATACCATGCATCGAAGCCCAACCCGGGCACTGAAATGCACTCCTGGGATGGTGAAGTGGTGGCCTGCTTGTGGCTGCAGCCTCGTGCATCGGCCACGGCCATCGGCGGAGAGCTCCGAATCCTGGAAAGCGAAGCTCCGCCAAACTGGTCCGAAGAGGAAGCTTTCGACTGGGGGCGTCCTTTCCCCGGTCCCAGCGGCGCCGTGGACGTTGACATAACACCTCAGCCCAGGAGGCTTGCGATCTGGCCAGGGCGGCGTTTCGTGCGAAAGCTCCCCACTGCTGAGGGCTTTGGGCCCCCAGCTCGATACGAAGAGAGCTGGCTGGAGGTCTACTTTGTCTTTGGATCTCAGAGGCGGTGGGCCTCAAGAGTCGACCCCGTACCATCGATGCCTTTGCCGAAAGAATCATGCACATTGCCGGCGCGATAGGGTTGTAGACGGTGTCAGCCGGTCTTGCAGGCATGTAAGCCTTGTGATGTGTGGTAGCAGACCCCTGGGCTTCCATACTCCCCCTCCCCGCCACGGGTTCGATAAGGATAATCAGTTACGAGCCCACATGGCTCACTAGCCACTATGGCTAAGTATCGGCTTGGAACTGAAACCCCATGAATGGATCCTGTCTTTCCAGAAAACCCAAGCCCAAGCTCCCAGTCGCAGAGTCGCAGGAAGGCTTTCTTGAGCTACCCAACGAGGCTGGAATGTGACCTCATCTCGCACTCCGCATGTCACTTGCTCTATTTTGCCTGGGCTGGATGCTGGAGCTGGCTAGTGTGTTGAGGGGGGGGCTCGACGAAAAGCGAAAGAAGCTTGCACCAATGTGGCAAGCTATCTGCTTTCGAGTTGTTCTGCAGCTGATATGCTTAGACCGAATCCTGAGCCCGAGCATCCCTTTGGTGACAACTTAGTCATACAGCTCTTGGATCGTCCCAGAAGCAGCACCTCGCTTTGTCTTGGTTCTCTGAATGTCGGACATCACCGTGGTACAGTATCTCACTGTTATTATATTACTATTCCCTATTCCTGTTCTATGGTTATTACTCTTACCATTACTATTACTGGTCTATTGTTATTATGATTATTAGTATGACTATTACCGTTACCATTATTATTAACAGGTGACTCTTACACGTCGCGGATACTCACTTGCAGCAAACCGATAACCTCCTCAGCAATCAATTCATGTACAAGCCGGCGAAAGACGCGAGCACACCTGGCCACTTCTGCACCGAGAAATTGTTGCAGTGTTTGCAAGTAATTCGTTCGCTGACCAGCGACAGCTGTTAGCGAGACCTCTGAGAATATGGTAATCAGTGAGAAGGTTCGCCAGTGGGAAGTTGAACGAATTTGGAGTCGAAAGTTTGCGAGATGTGGGGCCCGTGCGAGGTTTGGAGAAACTACCGTTTACGGTCGCATGTTTGGACGCGCGGCAGATGCAATGGTTGTATCTATTCTGGAGCCATGTGTTTGGATAGGTTGAATGAAGCTTGCCGAAGCATGCTGAACAGGACCAGCCAGAAATCTCAAACAGACAAGATGTCTCACGCACGGTTCGCTTGGAGCTATCTTGCATTCACCTTTCACGTACATCAACTGCACCTTTGCAAAATACGTGTGCAGCATTTCATGATGCAGAACGTCATACGACTCTTATCAAGGATCTTCCGCAACGGGGTGCACATCAAAACTTGAGCTCCTAAAGCCAGAAGGTTGTCAGGCATAGGAGATGTTTGCCTAGTTCATGTCACTTGCGTGCTCCACCCTGTTCGCAGGATCACTTTCAAGAAGAAAACACCAATTAGGCATGAAGACGGTACCGGTACGGCCTGTGGAGCATCTTGCGAGCCGCATCTCATCGCAGATCCTTTCTTAGAGAGGGTCTCTGCTCGCTATGAGCAGGCGCCGTCAAAGGCCCGGTCTGCCTCCAGGCTGGGGTCGAAAGAGGCGCACGCTGCATGGCAAGGGTATTGCGCACTCTGAGTGCCTTTTGGGGCATTTTAGTGACTACGGAAATCACTCCTGACACCTGAGCTTCAGCAGCGTTCGCTAAAGGAAGATTTTCAAGTTGAGTGTCTGCAAAGACCCACTCGAAAATTCAACTGGCGAAGGTGAGCAGCCGCGCCGGAAGCAAGGCACTGGATCTTGACCTTGCTGGTGTGGCGGTGGTGGTTTTAGTGTTGGGCTTGCAAAGTTGGCAGGCAGTGACATAGCTTTTCGCCCACCTGCTTGAGAATGCCTTTGCTTGTCATATTCCTGCAACCTTCGATGCAACACGCCAGTGAGCTAGCAAAACTGAGCCAGTGGCAAATCTTGAGCCAAGCACACACTGCGGCAAGTATATCAGCTCAAGAACCATCTTACCTGGATCGTATGTGCACCCGAGAATGTCGGGCGGGTGGCACTTACAGTATCAGCCAAAGGCCATTCACGAAAGTAACAACTTACGATTGGTCGTAGCAACAACCAGAGGTCGTAACACGAACGGTCATAGCAACAGCAGACGTAAAGTGCTAGATGCAGCAGTATAAACAGAGGTGATGCGTTGACCTGGAAAGCCCCAAGCCCGAAGCAGAGCTGGAGGTTTGGTTTTGAACCAGCCAAATGTCCCAAGATTTCGAGTTTGCTCGACGAGAAGCTCCATCAGCAGGCTGGCACGGGCACTGCCGACAAGGCGGTGGGCACGGCGAGCCGTGCTGGCAGTAAGGACTGACCCTCAGACGGCTGCGAGCTGCAGTCAAATTATTCAAGTTTGCCGAATCCTGCCGCGAAGCTCTCCGGTCCAGCCGCTCTTCGACATGACGAGCCCAAGAGTGGCAACCAAACAGAGTGTTTCAATCCGCGCACGTGTATGCAAACTCGAGTATGCTGTTTCTTCAGTCGCTTAGTGTTTGTTTGTTTTCTTTGTGGCTCAAGGTCTGATGTTCTCAAGTGGCTTGCACGTTCTTAAGTTGTTTGTGCCCACAGGCAACTTGCTACGCAGATATATTGAACATGCGCACAAGTAGAAGGCGTTGTTCATGTGTATGTATGTGTATATATATATAATAAGCTATACACAGACATATTATATAACAAATTGACTATAATATAAGATAAGATAATGTAATGTAGTATATACAAAAGTATTGTACATACACATATATATATATATATTGTGTATGTATGCATGTATACATATCTATACATATATATATATATACATACGTACACACATACACATATGTACGTACGTATGCCCATGTACACAATTACAACATCTGCATTTTGTCATACGAGGATCTATTTATTGATGTATGGCATGTGACATGCAGAGACTATGTCACCATGCAATATGTTTTGCCTGAAGTTTACGACTCGGTAGAGCAATCGGTCCGGCATTTAACCCTCGCACTCTGAAGCGATCCATTCTTCACAGTTCGCTACACGTCGCCCTGCTCCAAAAAATCCACCACTTGCGTGTTCCGCATGGAACGGACAGTGTTGTAGAGTAGGGTGTCAGAGACTGGGGATTCTGGGCTTCAAGCTTCAAGTTTTGACTGGTGTTTCCGGAGAGGAACCGCCTGGCATCCGTGATTGCTCAGGGAAGTCAGAAGTCCGTGGTGACGCGTTCGCGGCGGGTGGAGGGTGAATTACGGTAAGTAAATTCATATTATTATTAATACTGTCATAACTGATCCTGTCATCAGTGGCAGCGGTGGCAGTCGTAAGAAGTAGCAGCAGCAGCAGCAGCAGCAGCAGCAGCAGTAGTAGTAGTAGTAGTAGTAGTTGTCGTTGTAGTTGTAGTTGTAGTTGTAGTGGTAGTAGTGGTAGTAGTGGTAGTAGTAGTAGT